AGAGGCCGAAAACGACGAAAAACCGTCGTCTCGATTTCTTCGAGACGCCCGATGCCTGGGGACCTCTCCTGGCGGGCTGCGCTGGCCAGGATTTCGAGGCGCATCCAGCCGTGGCGACGACGGCCTCCCACGGGAGGCCCAAGAGGGCGACAACGCGGGCAGGCTGGCGGCGGACCTCTCCCGGGGGTGCGCGGACCCGGCCGTGGCGGCGAGGGACGGGTCGCAGCACCGGCACCTCTTCCTCCTCTGATTGACACGAATATACGTGTGTATACATATAAGATGTGTATATACATATATATGTATATATATATATATATATATATATGTATGTGTGTATACATGCACACATAAATATAACAGGACTCCACACATATGTCCCCATATCCTCTGGGCTCTTGTCTCTTCCCCCCTCTTCCCATCTTTCCCCATCGGGGATCTTCTGACCCGGGTCAATCCAGACCCGGGTCAGCAGGAAACCAAAAACTGCAATGCAGGAAAAAAAACTGCAACGCAGATCTTCGCAAACCCGGGTCAGCCAACATGCGCGACCGCCTCGCGGCCACGAGCGGCTCGCTGACCCGGGTCAGCCAGAGGGGGTCTGCGCAGGATCCTGCAGGATCAGGCGCCCTGACTGATCCCCGTTTACATTGACCCCCGTCCCAAGGTTGGGGGGCGGAAAGATACGGATAATTACGTGTTGTCCCTGGACCTCTCTTGGGGTGCGTTCTGACCAGAATTTCGAGGCGAATCCAGCGGTGACAACGAGGATTCCCCTGGAGGACCAGGAAAGGCCCAAAACGAAGGGGGACAACACGTATCCGTATCTTTTTCTCCCCCGACAAGGCTCCCGACCCCAGATCTTTTCTGGGGGACCGGCGATGGCTTGTGTGTGCCTCTCTGTGTGTCCGTTGTTGTTTTTTTTCCGATGAAGACACAGCAGCTGAGGGCCCCTTAAACGCGACCCGGGGGCGAGGAGCCACCCAGACTTTCGGCGACAGCCGAACGCTGTGCTCCGTGTGCCTCTCCGAAGGCGTTCGGCTGCCTCTCCGTGTGTCCGTGGTGCTCCCCCCCCCCGCCCGGGGGGGCGAGGCGCCGCGCCCGGCCCGTCCTGGGTCCGTGCAGCCGACGCCCCGGCAGGCCTGCGGGCCCCACGCTCCGCGGGCGGCCCCCGCCCTCGCCGGCCGTCCGCCGGCGAGCGGGGGGGGGGGGAGGGCCTCCTCCTCCTCCTCCTCCTCCTCCTCCTCCTCCTCCTCCTCCGCCTCCGCCTCCGCCTCCGCCTCCGCCTCCGCCTCCGCCTCCGCCTCCGCCTCCGCCTCCGCCTCCGCCTCCGCCTCCGCCTCCGCGGGGCAGGGGGGGGGAGGCGGCCCTCTCAGAAGGCGGGCGGGACCTCTGAGAGGCCCTCGCGCCTTCCGAGAGAATGGTCTCTGGCTTCGGGGCAGGCGCAGAGAACTTCTCGGAAGGCTGGGGGGCTTCCGAGCCCTGGGAAGAAGGCCTTCTCCTGCTCATTTCTCCCCTTCGCTCGCCGCCGAGTCCGCCCCTGGCGGGAGCAGCCAGCATCGAGCCGCGAAGCCAGAGCGGAACGGGCACCGAATCGGGGTGCTTGTGGAGTCCCGAAGCGGTGCGGTGACAGACCGTGCGGTGACATCGGAGCCCCCCAAGACCTCACCGCACGGTCCGTCACCGCACGGTCTTGGGACCTCGGAGGCCCCAGCCGCCCGAGACGTCCTCGGAGAGGGACTCGAATCCCAAAACCGTTCGGTGACCCCGAATCCCCACCGACTCACCGCACGGTGTGGTCACCACACTGTTTGGGGCCCCCGAATACTGCACACGACGAAACCAGGACCGGGACAACGTCGGACTGGGACGCGTCTGGGATCCCCGAACTCCAGCGGCTCTGGAAGATGTGCCGTGCGCCGCGGCCTTCTCTGAGCGCTCCTCGAAACGCCCTGAGAGCGGCCCGGAACGCTCTGCATCGAGTTCACCCGGCCCCAGAGGCCTGCCCGATGCTTCGGATCGGGAGCGAAATCGGAGCGGGTCGGCCGCGCCCGGACACTCAGCCACGCCGTGCGCAAGCATCGGGCCGCACTGGATCCCCCCGGGAAATCGAGGTCGAACCGGAACGGGGCCAGCTGGAACCGATATCGAATCGGAATGATCCGTAACTGCCCCGATACACAACACGCGACACGTCGCGTGTTGACGCGGAGCTCAATACGTAGACTGGAAACGTAGAAACGTAGGTCTGGCGCGAGACGTTCGGCAAAACGTTGCGTTGAACCAGCACGCAGCGTGTTAACACGGACATTTTGAACACGGCACGTGATGCCTGTCAACACGGGCGTATCAGGGCAGCTAAGGATTGATCGGATCGGATCGAAGTGGACACCGCCCTGGTGGCCGCCGCTTGCTGCCACTCCTGCTGCAACTCCTGCTGCCACTGCTGCCAGCCGCCGCCCCATATACAGCCAAAAGTACGATCAAGAACTGATCGTGTAAGAAATCTAAAACAAGCCTTCTTGTAAGAGATCTGCAGCTTCCCCAAGTGCCCCAAACCAAGCCTGGACGAATCTCTGTTGCAAGCGCTGGGCGCTGGAGGGGCGAGCGGGCCCGGGAAACCAGGCCAGCTTTCCGCCGGGTCGATCACGAAACGCTGGCCCGGCTGCTCGGGAGGAGGTTTCTTCATCAGATGCTCGACTGTGCTCCTGCCGCCGCCGCCCCCGTCTGATGCTGCTACAGCTGCCGCCGCCGCCGCTGATCCAGCCCACCCTGCAGTCGTCGTGCTACCTTTTGGAGCGCCAGGCAAGGGAGGAAGGGGCCATTCTGGCCACGGCGACCCGGCCACGAACCGGTCCCCGACCTGAATGCCGGGAGCGGTCCGGAAACCAGATCCACTCCTGAGCCCAACGTGGTCCCTATGTCAGCGTCTTGGCTGTGCCCGACTGTGCGCTTCGTCGTCGTTGCCGTCGTCGCCACTTGTTCCCCGAATCACTCAAGGTGTGCTCTCCGGCATTGCTCACCACATCTTCAATACTAATCAGAGGGTGAGCGCCCCACGTACGATGCCGCAGGGGTAAAAATTCAACGTCGTGGCAGTCATTGCTGCTACGGCGCGCATCATTCAAAGCATACAAGGCATGTTCCTGTGCATCAGTGCGCACACTCCTACATTGCTCTGCGTAGTTCTACACGCTCTGCTGCGTCTTCGCGTGCTACGCCGATCCTCTTTACGCACATGCTTTCAAGATCCTGGTGGCCCTCCCATCGTCGTTACATGATTGCTGCTCCTTGCGCCTTCCGCCCCTCTGCTCATCTGCTCTGCCCACCACCTCGCTCCATCAACATGATGTTGTGCTCGCGAGCGGGCCGCAGGCAAGCTGGGTCAGGCGCAGGGCGGGCAAATAAGCCTCTGGACGGCTCTGGGAATCAATCGACTCGTCCTCCATCAATGTGCGTGTGAAAACGAAGGTCCTGGTGCAAATGCGTCCTGGACCTCCGGGGTCTAACCAAGCCCTTCTTCCCGAGCCGCTTTTTGACGGCATCCGAGCCCAAGGGGCCCAGAAGAGGCCGAAAACTGCAAAAAAGCTCCGGGCCTCGAGGACCCCCTTCCTTTCGGGCCGGACGAAGCGGGATGGTAGTAAAGAGGAGAGTAGCGAATCAACTTACGTAGCTGGCTCCCCCGGCGCCTCCCAGCCCCGGAGACGTCCATGAATCGAGGAGAGCTCCAAGCGGCGAGACCGAAACCATCTGCACGAAAAAGACTTCGTAGCCCCGCTTTTCCCCATCCCCCCTTTCGTCCGACCCGATCTCCCTGCCGAAATGAACTCCCCCTGTAGAGGCCTCCTAGATGGGGTCTGAGGAAGGGTCGGAGGATCGTGCTGCAACGGCGATGCATCGGCGATGCATCGCCGATACATTGGCGATGTATCGGCGATACGGCGCGATGCTCCGACCCCATCCGAGAGGCCTACAAAAACAAATACCGATGCCGCTACTCTTGCCTCGTCGCCACGGCTGGATCCGCGTCGGAATCCTAGTCAGAATGCCACCCGAGTCGGGGGGACGTCCAAGAGGGGGGCTCGCAAATCATGGCCCGAGGCATGGCGTGGCCCACGGAGGTCCAGGACGCCTATTCGGCTACACGCAAGAGTGACCCCAGGCAAGAGTGATCTTTGGTGCGCGGCATAGGAGCGCAAGCCGCTGATACCGCTTCACGTTTAGCGATCGGGGGACCCCACTGGACCCGCACACCACGTCACTCCGGCGAAAGGTCACTCTTACGTGTAGTCGATCTACGCCCTGGGCCTCTTTCCCACCCGCGGCCTCGCCATGGAACAAAGGCGGATGCGGCGGACGAGCGATTGGGGCGCCTGTCGACACCACGTGCGCGACCAAGAGGGGGGCTCCTGCCCTACTGGTGAACTGTCGGGCCATCTCCAGCCCCGGGAGGCCACCCGGGATGGATCCCCGTTCGGGGATCTACTGGACCGGAGGCCAGTCGGGATCCCCGTTCGGGGATCACCTGCAGCTGCCCCTCCTGCAACCCCCGAGCGGCACCCAGACATCCGACGATGTGATGTCTGCAGTACGAGGCCCCACTGGTGATGGGCGCGAGGGCTGCTAAGGGGATAGGGGGGTTATCATTGGATGCCAAGGTGGGTTATATCTGGCCAAACCTACATAGCTTATCAATAAGTTACAAAGGCCCCAAGTGGCGTAGGGGGTCAACGATACGGGCTAAGTGGGCTCCGCCCACTTAACGAAGTTAGGTGACCCCCTACGCCACTTCGCGCCGTGGAAACCCACTCAGAAGCGAGGTGAGGCCAGATTCAGTCCACCTTGGCATCCACTGAGAGCCCCCACAAATCCCCTCTGCAGGCCTCGCGCCCATCCCAGCGAGGCCCAACCGACGGCCCCAGGCGGCCGAGATGAGAGAAACACCAGCGGGACCGCACAAAAATCGGATCGCCGGACGCCTGACGGACGAGCGGCGGCGCCCGGGGCCTCCTTGAACGTGTGCAGCTCGGCTTTGGCCGAGCGCTGCGTGGACTTGGCCATGGCGCGCCTGGCGGGGGGTCTCCCGCCCGATGGCTCTGCTCGGCGCGAGCGCCGAGAGGCGGACGGGGCTGGGCTGG